ATTCCGAGTCTAAAGGCAAACAGAACGTTTCATGACTGGTTATTCGATTTAAAAGTAATACCGGTACGATGATAGTCCATTTCATTGATAAAATTTTTTTATATCAAAAAAAAAAATTAGTAAATGTTTTGTTCAAACAATATTTTCTTAGTACTCTTTATCATTATTTAACTGAAAACACATTAAATTAATCATGTTTTGATAAAATGGCCATTCTGTAGTGATATCATTTAAGTTTTATTTATTTTGGGAACGGGTAAACGAAACGCTAAGAAAATTAAAAAGCACGCAAAAAATTGTCTTAATTGCATGGGAAGCGTAATATTGCGAGCTTTATTGAAAGTTTAATTGATTTTAAGTATTGTTATTAATAAAACTCATAGCGATTGCAGTATTTTGAAGAGATATACATTTAATGTTGTTATGTATTTTTAAAAATTTTTTAATTTTATTTTTTTGTATTTAATAATGCTTGTTATTCAATAATAACATTAACAAAAATAATTTATGATCTTTCAAAGATACTATACTAAACTATTATATCACTATTGCTGAATTTTTTTCATGTTCTTTGTTTTCCTCAAATCTTGAGTTTATTATTAGGAATATAGTTTTCGGAAATATGCACGTACTCTGATGATTTTGTAAAATCATCCATTTTATGTAATTTCAACAAAGCTGTTAACGGTGACAGCCACTTTTTATCGTGTTTTCAATTTCATTTGCTCAAACTATTAATTTTTGCTTATTTTCAAGATCTAGGTCTCGATTTACTTCTTTGAAACTTTTATCACAAAAATAAAGCACATATAACAATCAGAATCTAAATAGCAAATTTGCTAATAAAAATTAAAAAAAAAACCAAAAGTCACAATCTGTTTCTAGGGGTGGTGTGAAAAGTGTGCAGGGGAAAAGCAAAAGCCAACAAATATATAACACTATATTATATAGTGATTTAGATAGGACTCACCATATTCCTTATCTCCCTACAGCTCCCTTGACACCCCTACNTAATTCAGGGGATTAAATGGATGTTTTTTTATTTTAAACCAGAAATCTTTTTTATTTTAAACTTCTAATCTGCTATTGTACTTGAATAACTTTCTAGTAGTGTGCAGGGGAAAAGCAAAAGCCAACAAATATATAACACTATATTATATAGTGATTTAGATAGGACTCACCATATTCCTTATCTCCCTACAGCTCCCTTGACACCCCTACGATTGCTTCACAGCCTCCCCACAAAATAAGGAAAAATTTACTGATTTCCTTTTTTATTTTTACAGCTTCAGTTTTTGTTGAGTCTTGTTACAGCCCTGAAATACCCTCTTACGGTCACTCCAGTCGTTTTTTTACAGGGTTTACAAGCTATCTCAATTGTTTTGAGATAATTTTTTGCGCTGTTTGTTCTCATAAGATTTTTGACATGTTATATTTTCTAAATTAAATATTATTACATAAAAATCTCAAGTTTGTCCCTTAAATGATATGTTATATCTACATGTAACGTAAGAGTTTCAATATTTTAACGGAATAATGATAAACGTTGTGGTTGCTGACAATTTATTTCAAATATATAATCAAGACTGTCTTAACTTTGTCCTTATTAATGATAAATTGTTATGGCAAATACAAAAATCGAAAGAATTAAAAGTAATGGTTATTAATTACTTATATTAAAAATTTTGTTGGCACAAAAACTTCATTTCCTAGTTTTTATTAAGTTATTATTTCTTCTTTATATTGCACTGAAATAATTTTATTATTTGCAATCGTGTGATATTGTAAAAACCATCACACAAACTTAAATTTTTTTTAACACGACTATTGCTTCAGCTTTTGAATAAAGTTTATAGAGTAGGAGACCTCTACCAACACTATCTCAAACTTTCAATAGAAAAAATTTATACAAATGTTACTGTCATCATCACCTTTGTGAGTTGCACAATTAATATACTATAGTGAGTTAATAGATACGGTTTTAGTTGATTTGAAATTTCGTTATTTAGCAAATTAGTGTATGACTTACAAAAGGATAGTATGGCTTTATTTATAACAAAATTTTCTCATCAGTTTTCCAATATCTAATAATTTGAAATGTTTCAATTTTCCCTTTTTTAATTTATAACAATGTACAAAAATTGATATCCAATGAACTAATACTTACATTTAATTCTAAAACGTAACAAAATTATCATTAAAACGATGATTCAATAGTTTCAGCTATTACTGTACTTCTATTACTATTTTTCATGACAGGGACAGTTTGTCAAAATTCTTCTTTTAAAATAAATTACTTATTTTTAAAACATATTTTTGTACTTTATGGATCACACAAACTACTGTCTATAATTTTCAAAGCTTTTTTTATTATCAAAAAAGCGTTCCCTCAAATTAAAAAAATTAATTGCAGGTAATCTTTTGAATTCAACCTTTAAAATTACACTTTCTATACTGTTCGAGTCCAAAGGTAAATAAAAGGTTCTATGATTAGTCATTATACTTACAAGCAATACTAATGCGATACCAGTCCAAGCCATTGCTATAATTTTTTGACATTACGGAACGAAGAAATACAATGCTTTGTACAAAAAAGTTTTTCCAGGTCTTCCTGATCATTATTTACCTGAAGACATATCAAATCAATTGTGTGTTCATAGAATGCAATGCCTCTAATGTCATCATGTTAGTTTAATTTTTTTTTGGGATAGGTACTTTAAAGAAAAAGCATTATTTTTCTCCAGATATGAAAATATGATGTGTGCGTAGAAGATCACAGCTTTTTTTTATAAGCAAAAACTGTTTAATTAATTCCTTATATTATCACCGTGAATGTTATCTTGAATTTAAAAAATAAATAAATAAATAAAAAGAACGAAAAAAACTGTAGTAATTGAATTGAAAGCACAATTGTGCTACCTCTATTAAAAATTTTATCGATTGCAGTATAATTATTAATTAAACTAATAGCAATCGCAGTATTTTTTAACGCTTTCTATTTACTGCTGCTATTTCCTTCTGTATCTTTAAATGCTGTTTTTATTCAATGATTCTTTTTATTTAATAATAACTTGTTACGGCGTGGGCACGATGCGGATTTGCGAGGCGTAAAGCTCGACCTTGATCGGGCCTGTGTTGCCCAGATACCCTCAGCGACACTCCCTGTAATATGTATACGCGGGTCTCGTCCGTCGAGACACCGCAGGGGCCAAGTATCGCGGCTACAAGGGTCGTCGCTTCGAGTGGCTCAGTTATATCCTTTCCAAGAGAAATATTGAATTCAACTTATTATTCAAACTGTATACAAGACCAAAGTGAAGCTTTTACAATAATATTTAATGTGACTGTGCAAGTGGGGAATATACGGTATTGATAAAATTAGTTTATTATTATAGTAAAAACATTTTATTACTCATAGATTTTTGAACCTGATGAGGGCCAGAACGTTGTCTAAACGGACGAAAAGTTGTTTTGTTTTTTAATTTTATGTTCTATTAAAAGTCAAATATAATGTACTAAAATAATAACTATACAGATATGAAACGTGTACAATAAATTTCTGTGTATTTTCTAGTGTGAACGAAGGTTTTAAAGAGTTTCAAATCTTAATTTGCAGCTCTTGCATATATTTATTTGAATTTTACTATAAATTTTGTTGTAAAAGTACTTATTTTTAAAAAATCGATAATTTTTAGCTATGTACTCTTATTTTCCAAAAAAAATATTAATTTTAAAATATAACATTACATATTTCCATATCATCTTTAGGGTAGTGCTGTGGTACATAGAGTTTTTTTATCAAGTTTTGAATAACGAATAAGAAATCATTTACAAAAAAAGGACTTAATTTTGGTATCATAATTGTGCTTTATTTATTTTTTTACATTATTTTAACAATATCAATGTCCATAACTCAAATAATAAACTTAATATTCCTAAACTCCTTCAGTAACTTCGATATAAAGAATTTCTTGTATATGATTTTAACACAGAGTAGGTAGAAAAAAGCACTAAGTGATTGAAAATAGTATGTATTAATTAACATGAGAAATTTGGATGGTAAATGTTAAAATATGAAAACTTAAATTGTAGAACTCACAATCCAAACATGTACAGTAAGTGTATCTAAATTATGATAGTAATTTTCAATTTCAAAAAATCTTTTGAACTTTTCTCTAACATTTATATTTGCAACGTATTTTTAGACTCTATTTAAATAAACGTATTTGTAGAATTGTGACCGCTGTATAGTGCACGATACAATCGTCCATGGAAAAATAGTGATTTTTTGGAGTATAATTCTACAGATCAAAACGTTAACCCTAAAACTTTTTTATGTAATTCAGGGGATTAAATGGATGTTTTTTTATTTTAAACCAGAAATCTTTTTTATTTTAAACTTCTAATCTGCTATTGTACTTGAATAACTTTCTAGTAGTATATTATAGGTTTTTTCTAGTATATTGTTTAAAATTTTATTGTTTCAGATGTATATGTATTCATTATGAGATGCTATGTACGGTCCGTCTACACAACCATATACGGACCAATCACGGCATGAGCTCAGGCGGGTGTGCCCGCCGTGCACGAAGCCCGTATGTTTGGCAGATATATTCTGCCCGTATATGGACTGTATACCATATACAGATAATATGTTGTCATTGTTTATCCTAACTGAAAGTGTCTCATAAGAACTGATAAAACTTATTTGTCTGTTTCTAGTCCATTTTTTCACTTAGAAAACCAAATAGAACACAGTAACATTCAAAAGTTAATTTTTCTCATTTCTATTTATTTACCAACCTAAGATTAAACATAACTAAATTTTAAAAAGTCGAGTCCCATTATCCAGATGGCAGCACCAAAACGGGAGGATTCAAGTATTTTACATGAAATTGTAATAAAAAGTTTATTTCTTATTTCTTTAAATTCCATGTAAAATAATTACACCTTAACATTTTTGTGTTGTCATCCAGATGGTGGGACTTAAATTTGCAGACTTATTTATGTTTAATCTTGTACTGGTAAAGAAATAAAAATGAGAAACGTCATTTTTTGAACGTTGTGATGTTTTATGTGGTTTTTTAAGTGCAAAAGCCAACTAGAAACTAACAAAAAAATTTATATAAATTTTTATTAGACACTTTCAATGATATTTTCTATCATTGAATTCTATTCAATAATATAATGAGTAAATAAGATACTGTAATTTATTAATGATGATCACACTTTACATTTTTATATTGTAAAAAAATACATGCAAGTAGAGACGGTAAAAAAATTAAAAATTAAATCTTGTTTATTTCACTAAAACGTCTTTTATTATTCATATATATGAAACGGATTAAAAGGGCAATTAAAAGGTCTTTTACTGAAAACGAATAAAATAAGAAAAATTTTTTTTCACCACCTCTACTTTTATGTACTTTATTACAATGTAAAAATGTACAAAGTAATAATGATTAATAAATTACTTCATCCTAATTATTGATGACCTTATGAATAAAATAAAATGTTTCATATTGTCATTTTGATTTCCTTTTCAATTTTCAGTTGATCTTTTCTCTCCTTTAATTTGATACTTACCAATCTATGCAACAGTTTTACCATATTTAACAATTTTATTTCTTCTTGTGTATATGGCATTTAGTTTTTTGCGTTATAAGTAGCGTTTTCTTTTTTCGTCTGCCATTATTGTAAAAAAAAAAAAAAAGCTTTATATATGACGAGAAGTAGATAGTTCTCAATTATTAAAACACAATTTTTGGAGCTAGGCAATACAATTTGTACTGTAACCTCTAACTTTATATACTGTATAACAAATCATAACATTACAGCATTACTCACACGGTCCATATACGGGTGGGGTTCAGTTAACGGACATATGGGCACCGTACACGGCGAGTATACTTGCCTTAGCTCATGCGATATACATACTTACCATATCAATTTCATTCCATTGGCGGTACATGGACTGTATATTACCTTATGACAGATAAAGATATTACCTACTGAGATAATTAGGATATGTCGAAGCTTGAAGCGCTCTAGCTCGACGGTGGGCCTCCCAGCCGCTGAACGCTCGAGCTGTAGAAGTGGAAGACTCTTTCGGTTCTTCCTTCGGATACGTATGTATATTGTATAACACAGCATCGTGCATAATTGTACAAAATCAAGAGAGCCCAACAGAGCCTTTAATTAACTTTCAACTCTACCTACAGCTCGAGTGTGCGGTATCTAGGACGCTCACCGTCAAGCTATAGCGCTTCAAGGATCGACATGTCATAGTCAGTGCTGCTTCGAAGTCGGATGTTTCCTGGTTAGAGTTGTGGGACTTCTAAATTAAATACAACGCAGCTCGAATATTTTTTAACAGTTATATGTCAGGATTGTACTAAATACAGTACAAAATGTGGGCTAAAATAGGTTAAAGTTTTTTGAACATTAATGTTTCAAAGATTTTGGAGTCTTTTTGTTCAAGATGTGTGCGTAGAAGATCACAGCTTTTTTTTATAAGCAAAAACTGTTTAATTAATTCCTTATATTATCACCGTGAATGTTATCTTGAATTTAAAAAATAAATAAATAACATCTAACAGCAATGATAAAAATTTCTTATCAATGATTAACGTAATACATGAAATGCATACCAAATATTTAAGTACTTGATAGTCTCTTACAAAATAAAAAATTTAATTAAATTTTTTACAACTAGAAGACTTTAATGTATGGTTAGGAATGTTGCTCCCGTAGCAAATAATTCATGTATTGCTATTCCTATTTCTATTTTTGACGTATTTTTGGATAATATTTCGGGCGAAATTTTTATCTGGACCAGGCCATGAATTAAATCGATTTTGTAACCTCTTATGACATCCAGCACGAATGGGTCCGAAGTAATATCTGTTCTTATTGTTTAGAGTAAAATTTTAACCTGCCCCCTGTATTTACCTGATCTATTGTCTCGATACTTACCTTTGGGGTTGTGTTTCAGAGTAATATCTCTTTGCCACTTAGTTTCTGTAGCTGGGGTTATGTTGCGCTCGAAAGGTGAAGGTTGGTTGGTAGTAGCTTCTTCGGCTCCCCCGTCTCACCTCCCTTCTGATGGCGGAGATTCTCCCGTTTAACTGACGTAAAGGTTGATTGAATCTCGGTTGGTTCTAGTTGAAGTTTTTCATTGGCTTTAAGCGTAGATCCTTTGATATCTTTTCCATGGTTGTAAAATTCTTTATTGTCGATTCAAGACCGTCACCAAATATCATATTTGTAGAGTTAGTTTCTTTTAAGACCTTATGCATCTTATCATCGTATCTGCCAACCAAGAATAGTTTTCTGGCTAGGTTGTTGTCAAACCAGTTAGGAAAATAATTCAATTGCGTTAGCAATATTAGCCAGTAAGCCTTCCTTCCATGCCGATGCTTCAATATCTGCTAGTACTTGTTGAAATGCGCTGGCTGAATCTGATTCAGAAGCTGCCGCTAAAATTTGGTATGCTCTGAAGTTGATTATCCTTCGAGAGGGCATTTGGTCCGATGTCCGTTTCAACTTCCGGGTTTAGTTGAGGAGGTTTGAGGATAACGTTTCCTTTCAAGGGAATTGACGAGAGTGAAGCGGACTTATCATCTTTTGGTAGGCCATTTGCTATCCAAGCTTGAATCCTAGTTATGACCTCTTTATCCAAATTGATTTGTTTCTCGGGCTTCATTGGATTTTCTCCCAGAAAAAACGCTGTCTCATCCAATTCTGTAATGAAGCTTTCGAATTATAGGTACAAGCAAGTTGTAGTATGGTCTTTGTTCTTTATCTCCAGATGACTGCTGAGAATCATGAAAAAGGGGGAGGGAGAGATAATTTCACTCTTTCTCCCTTCCGTACATTTTGAGCTAGCTCTGAAAATCGACCTGTTTAATTTTTGTGTGGCCTCAACTTAATGTTGGGACTCAACACTGAGGTTATGCAAGCACGTGGTTAGTAAGATGGCAATCTTTGCGCTGGCGGATCTTGGAACAAAGAGTCATAGGGAAAGGGCTAGAGAATTATGCACATACCTTCGTAAGTAAGGTAATCTTCGTTTCCCATGTTTTCTAGCTGCCATTACTTTTCTGGATTTCCGCTTCCAGCAGCAAACGCTTCTCTGAGAGCGCCTGGCGAGGATCCATACATGAACGTGCGACGCCACCGGACGCCGAGAAAGGAATGAAGTATAGATACGTACAACGAGGATTTCGTGGATACAATCATAGTCCCGTTAAAAAATATTTCTTTACCTTTAAAATTCAAAATTTATCTCTGAATAGTGATGTCATCTGGGCGATGAGGGAGGGTACTACACACATTAATATCCTCGAACAAGGCAACGAAGTATAATGCAAGAATATGAATATGAGCTATTCCAGTATAATAATTGTATTATTAAAACAAGAATAGTTGTGTTTGTGTAAACTGAAAATAAACCTTTTGTTTAAATGCCTAGCAGTGTTATTTAGTATGAGGCGACAAACATGTAGTGATCCGTTTTTAATAACTTTGTATTCACTTGCATGTCTTGAAAGATGCAATACATTGGCCATCAAAAGATAAAATTCTGCTTAGTATGCAAAAATGCTTTAAAAAGCATTAGTAAACGTACGTAGTGCTAACTTGTACATAAATACCTGTAGAATATCTGCAATATTTAAACTGTCATTTACCTTTATATTCCCACTACAACGGCTGTGAGACAATCAAATTTACGGTGAGTTTCTCCATCATGACTAATTATATATCTCAGTGAACCGTTTATGGGCAGGGCATTGGACAAGACTATTTTCGATAAATCAAAGATCATTGAAAAGCTTGTACCAACCGAGGACGCTATCATAGTGAAAAAGGGATTTGCGATTGAGCAAGAGAGTGCACAAGCACGTATTAAGCTGTTTAAGCTTTCTAAGCTGGGGAAAAATAAACAATTAGCAAAAGACAACGTCATTGATACTGTTGAAATAGCTTGAACTCGAGTTCAAGTTAAACGAGAAATTTAGAGGATGGAGAATTTTTATACATGGAAAAGTAAGATTTCCATAAAGATGGCACTTTACATGAGAGAAATTGAAAACATTATATGTGGAATTGTCAATTTAAGTGCACCAATTCTGTCGTTTAAGAGATGCTAATGGTTTCGATTTGAACTTATGGAATAAATTAAAAATTTTGTGTGAAAACACATTTTATTTCTTTTATTATACCCTTATTTTGTGTTTCTTTGATCTGCATTTTGTAGTCTAATATCTCCTTTAGTATGAAACCTTAACATATATTATTAAGGTACTTTTGGAAACAATCACGTAAATAATACATTAAATAATAGATTTTCAAAACTCTTCGCACATGGCTCACTATAATATCTTTCTAGTAACGTATATTACGATCACAGACGACATTATACAACATTTTCATATATTTTCTTTCTCAGTCAACGCTGACTAATTTAAAACATAAATAAAATGAACTCGTTGCATTACTGGTAGATAAGCATATTGAACTGTGTTTTTATCGTAAGCCACTTTTAATACAAATATAGAATCATCTCAAGAAGAGTAAATAATGAAATCACAATAGTTATATCCAGTCAGATACTTAACTAACTGAACTTGCGAACGTTGTGTGTATTTCATTGAAACACGTTCCAAAAAATACTAAAGTACATCCAACCGATAAAAAATTGCTAGCAGCAGGTAACATCAAGCTGCTTATCAAGAATTTTTTACTGAAATTATTATATATAATTCTAAAACCGTTCGTGCAAAAATGTATATCGTGCAAAATCTTGAAAATAATTTACTAGGTAGCCCAGAAATATGGGAATTTATTATCCTGCAAAAAAATTTTAATATGCATTCAATAGAAAGTATACAAACAAAGTAAAACGAAATATTAAAAGAGTTTGAGGATATTTTCAACGGTCTCGGACGTTTCAAAAAAGAATAAAAAATCCTTTTGAAAGAAAACCTAAAACCGTACACACGGTCGACGCCCCGCTCAGTGGCAATATTACTAATACTTAAATTAAGACAAGAGTTAGATAGATTGTTAAGGAGGCTTGGAAGATTTTTAATAAAACATTGGCTAGCTCGAAATTTAGAGATTACGTAAATAAATTATGCTAGATTTTTTTATAAAAAAAAAATTGGAAGGTCAACACATTTGTTTTCGAGAAAATCGCTTGTGAAAATTCGTCATTTTAAAAGGTAACCTTACGAAATCTGGAATTCAATTAACTAACATACCACAATAAAAAGCTGTGGGCCCGCACATCAAATTGGTACATGTAGTTTAGATTATAAAGAATCTTTTATTTTAGAAAAAGGATAGGATCAACATGTTAAATTAAAAAAAAAAACTGAGAAAAACGTAAACGTGAGAATTGTTTTGTTCAGGTATTGTGAGTGCGCATGTGCTATAAAAGTTGCGACAGTGCATCAATAAGATGGCGCGCCGTTTAAATAGACAGCATATGTGAACGCAAAATACAACATTTATAACAAACAATACGTACACTACTAACGCCCCCCCTCCCCCCATTTTGGCTTCACCCGAGACTCACTTAATGGAACACCGTCGTGTGTTGACATGTAATGTTAACTTTCTCCAGTTACAAATTTACCATCTAGTCCTGAAACTTCTCAGAACAAAAATCTTGTAGTCAGAAGTTAAAAAAATATAATTATGCTGAAAAGTACTGTGCGTTCCTTATCCCATAAAATAATCGTTGGCCCTTAAGGGCTGTTGATTTGCAGTTTCTCCCGTATTATCCATAAAAGGATATTTTTTTAAGCTTGAAAGATTTAAAACTCACAAAAATATATGATCCAAAAAATTTTTGGTAAAAGTGGACTTTACTCCACCCTCTGTAAAGTTGGATTCTAAAAAATCTAAAAAATTCTAATAACCCAATAACTTCTTGAAAGGTGGGTAGACAGGTAAACTTCACATCCGCCAAATTTTTTTTCTCATGTCTCACAACTTTATTATCAGAGCAACAAAGCCCTGGAGCTTACTTTCTACATTTTTTATTGCCACGAAAATACAAATACATATTCTAATATCTCATATTCTAATAATAAGCTAATCTCTCACGCAATAAATTCTTTCTTTATCCATTTTCACGCTGCTAGTTCAATCTCAACAAATGTTTTGCGTCAGTTTCTTGACGCCTAAAATTATATTCATTACATGCATTTAAAGTTTTTTTTCAACTTTGTTGAGTTCTAATATGTTTCTTGGCAAAAGTATATCGACGTCTAATGGCCCTAAAAAGTACGAGTGGACTTTTTGAGTGAACTCTTTCTTGACTGAAGTTTCCAGCAAACGTCATTGCCTTTATATGTTAGGGTGATCTTCTCTAGCCTGGTATTGTAGCACCACACTGATCAGAAGGAAAACTACAACGTTTGAAGCGTTGGAGCTAGTTGTAGAGCTCTTTTCCAATGTCTCCTGGTATTACGCCGAAAATGTTGGTGTCTAAGGCACCTTCTTTTTTTGCAAACTTAGTTGTTTTGGTTATCTAAGGTGGGGAAATTGGTTCGCGATGCTTGCCCGTTGGAGACTAACCCGTTTGCTCAAGTTTGTTTTTCCTTCATAGCTGTTAGGTTCTCTGAGCACAAGCCTTGGAGAGGACCGGTGATACCTGGTTAATTTCTTAGAGTGGAGAGGATAATATAGGATCGTCGGGCACTGGGGTTTCTAGCCTTGCGACGAACAACTCCGCTCGTGACGTCTGCCAATGAATGACTGACTTGGTTTAATAGTGGCCGGATTTATACACTCTTTTAGTCAACGAATTGTTTCCGCAAATGGCAGTAAAAATGTATTTGTTAGCAAGGTAGTTTAAACTTTGGTGGCCCTTAAAAGAACCAATGAGATTGATGATTAAGTAGGGAACGTAAATACTTATAGTGGCCCTGAAAAGGGCCAGAAGAAAGATTTCCAGTTATTCCTCATTATTGCTGTTGATGATGGGGAGCCAGTTGCGGATAGCTTGACTCTTATCCTTGGAGTTTCTGTGTACGGAGACCGTACTGGAGGGAGGTACGCCGCTGACCGAAGAATATCTCGTCTTTAGGTCGTTTCCCGAATAACCAACCGCTCATCGTTAGTCGGGAAAGTGGGCCTGGAGAATACCTTTTCTGTAGGTAAGTAAGTAAGTAAGTAAGTAACTTTATTAGACCATGTGGTATAATCACGTATGATCTCAAATTTTAATTTTACAGAGTATAATAAAAAATACTGAATAATAATAATGTATGAAAAATAGAAGTTGAATCAAAAATAAAGGTACAAAAATTAAATACAAATTATATAGAAACAAAAAAAGAAAAAAAAAGTAGATAATATAAAACAAAATCAGATGAAGTGATGGTCAAGTCGCATGTATAAGTTTAAATTTATATGAATTAGTTTAAATTTATATGAATCAGTTTAAATTTGTAGAGTAGAGTTTATAGATGTAATGTGTGAGTAGTTAATCAAGAAGAATGAAGGGCACAAGAACAGTTACAGCCTGGGGGATAACCTACATTCAAAACTCCAGTCATTCTTATTAAGAATAAGGAGAATGTTGAATAATGACTGCTTGAAACTATGAATAAGTGATGGTTCAAAAATATTCTGATGGAATTGAATCATGAGCTTTGACGACTGAATAAGAAAAGAGTGTCTAAACGCTTCAGACCGGAAAGTGGGGCAAAGCAGATATTGCGTTGGGA